GGCGTCAGCGTGGTGGGCTGGGGCTTCAGCAAGGTGGTGCTGCGGGCCGCGCTGGCGGGCGGCGGCGCCGTGGCCCTCAAGGCCGTGCACGGCGGCGGGCGCGAGGTGCGGCAGTGCGTGCAGCGCTACGCGGCCCCCGACGGCTGCCGCCGCCTGGCCGCCTACAAGCTGCTCAAGGAGGCGGCGCTGCTGCGGCGCCTGCGGCACCCCGGCATCGTGCAGGTACGAGGGGCAGCCCGGCTGCGGGGCGCGCGGGGGCCCCGGAGGAGCGGGGTGCGCCTCGCTGGTGGGGGGAACGCCTCCGTCCTGCATCCCGCATCCCACGTCCTGCATCAAGCCGCTTGGAAGCAGCCCTGTGCCACATGCTCTAGGTGACACTGCGAGTGCAAGGGGGTTGGGCTAGATGATCTATAGAGGTCCCTTCCAACCTAAGGATTCTGTAATTCTGTGATCACTGGCTGCCGTCGCGGGCCCCGACGCTGCTGTCGAGCCAGCGGCGCCCGCGGCGGCTCCAACTGAATCCCGAGGGCTCTGTCGATCTGTCAATATTTATTCAGCCTGCTCCCCTCGCTGCCTGCAAAGGCGACCCCGGCTCCCCTGCATCCCGGCTGGCTCCACTCTGACCCCGCGGCTTCTCTCTCCGCAGCTGCATGGTCAATGCTATGATAGCAGCGGAGATCCTGAAGTGAGGGTCACCGCGATGCTGGAGCTGGGAACCCCCCTGGAGATGATTCAGCTTCTGCAGACCCCCTGGGAGGAGAGATTTAAAGTAAGAAAACAAAACAAAGAGGGGTTTATCAGTGGCTTTTAGACCTCAAACTGAGTGAATGCGAAGCGCCTGTGATGACTGCCAGGGCAAACGGGATTGTCATGCTGACACTCTGTTTGCTCCTCCAAATTGCCTTTGAATCATTTTGCTATCGCTTCTTTTAAATTGCATTAAAAAGTCGTAGTCTGAAGTTTCATAGATAGGTTCTGTTCCTCCAAAGCAGCTTAAAGGAGAAATCTTGCTCAGGTCAGTGGTGTGTAATACCCAGTATTATACTATATTTTCATTTGCTCTACCTTCTATGGGTCTCCTCCATGGAGAGACTAACGTTTTTCATAGCTGTGCACATTAGTATGTGCAAAATATGCAAACATCAGGCAAGCCACCTCCAATTGCTCTGTGTCTCTTGCTGCCCGTATAATGTCTTTTCCTAGGCTGCGAGTTGAGCAGCCTGTCTTGCTGTGTGTTCATGTGATGTTTCTGATCTTAGATCTTTAGCTACTACTGTAATACAAACACTGCCAAATTGCTTTCTTCGTGCTGTAGGTGATGGGATCACATCCCCGTTCCTGGTATCTGTCTTACCTCCTAAGCATTATACATAGAGACTTTTAAGCTCTCCGTGAGCATAAATGACTTGTGACATGGCAGTTATTTTGGTTATGGCTTGTGTTGCAGTTGTGCCGCAAGGTCTCGGTTGGAGGCTGGCTGCTACTTGTTTGCTTCCCAGGAGGAAGGGGAGCATCAAGGAGAAGCGTGGGTACCTTAATGTCAATACAAAATGCTCTGGGTAAAACAAAAATAAATGAATAAATAAAAACCCCCAACAAAAGTCCCAGAATAAAATCTCTCCCTGCATGTGGTCCCCAATGATGGAGAAGAACCCTGCCATCCAAGTGAGAGCGAGAGGGTGGCAGCAGGAAGAGGGGAAGAGAAGCTGGGTTCACTTCAGCCTCAATTGCTTCCCTAGTGAAGATAAAATAGTAGAATAATTTCTCCTGACTTGTAGAATTCCACTTTTGCTGGAAAACTATTTTGTGCTGCCTTCTACATCTTTCCATGCATTTCATCTTCTTAAAACAGTAAATTCTTCCACAGAGCTGAGACAGCATGTTAGTGGCAAGGCTCAGCATGGTGGCATTAAGAATTTAACTGCCTGCTCAAGACACTAATGCAGAATGGAGACTGGCACTGCCTAGTCCTCTTCCCTAATTAGGACATCTAAACGGATGGGATTTTCCCGGTAAGGAGCCACATCAGATAGCAGGGATTCTGAGTGGTTCCAAGTGAGCAAAGCCTTGTGCCTGCCCAGATCACTATCTGGGGAGGGAGATGTGGTGCAGGTCTGGCTGCGGCACACCTCGGTGACGATACAGTTCTGATCTGATCCTAGCACTCCCGATGCTGAGTGAAAAATGCTGCAGCTGCTGAAAGTGCTGGTTCTGTGTGGCTGCACTCTTCTAGCCCTGCTTTGTCCAAAAGTTGCCTCCCAGGCTCCATGCCGCATCAGGTACTGCCTGGCACTGCCCTGCTGCCAGAAAGCTGCCAGAAAGCAAAGGGCTGGCACACAGTGTATTGCATGCTCTGGCTAGTTCTTCAGAAGCCTGATTGTGTGCCCAAATTTGTACTGCTGAGTGATGCAGCAACACATGAATCTGGTATTAATGACCATGGAGCCTCCGTCTCTATGGAGCAGCATGGGGGAAGGGAGGGGAATGTATTAATTCTATGCCAAAGTGGGGGGAAAAATCCTTCTGATTTCAGCTAGCAAATCAGTATAGGTCCTGAAACATGAAGACTGCTATTGTTTTCCTCACAGCTTTCTCCTCTAGTTAGTGTAACTGCCAATGTCTCTTTTTGTATACACATGCTTTTAAAAAATGTTGCTAAACTACTTACCACAGTCAAATCCTGTGGCAATGTTGATAATAAATTTTGTAGCATACACATAATTACCTTTTAAGTACTATATGCTTTTTTTTTGCCTTTAATTTCAGTGAATGCCCTTTCCTTTGTTCTACTTCCAATTTAATAGCTGTTTTTCATCTGTTTTTCCATGCATATTCATCTTCTCTCTCTCAGATTTGCCTGAGTCTTGTGAAACTGCTGTTTTACTTGGCACATTCCCCCTTGGGTTCAATAGTCCTCTTGGATTTCCAGCCGAGGCAGTTTGTTATGGTGGATGGAAACCTAAAAGTGACAGACATGGATGATGCCAGCACTGAGGAACTGTCATGCAAGGAAGATAATGACTGCACACTCGAATTCCCTACGAAAAGCTTTCCTCTCAAATGCTCCGCAGTCGGGAAATGTGAAGGAATAAATGAAAAGAAGAATCTTTTCAACGCATATCGGTACGTCCAATTAAACAAGGAAGAAAATGTGGCATGTTTGAATTTACCCAATGCCATGTAGCACATAGTAGCTCTCATTTCTTCCATGCAGTGTTTCTCCTTTGCCTCTGTCAGAGGGTAGGTAAGGATCCCTTTGAAGCCAGTTCATTTTCCTTATAAGGCAGGAAAATAGTTGCGTTATTGTCTAGGGAGAATGTAGGCATCCTTCTTCCACTGCTCCCCTTCCCTAATGCCCTCTAGAAATTTGCTTCAAAGGTTGCACCTGTGAGCTCATTATTTGCCAAGCAAGTCCTACCAAGAGGCCTGTCATTCAAAAGCCACTGGCTATATTTGCTGGAAGCAGTGGCAGGGCAGGCTGCCTGCCCAAGTGCATCTGCTCTGACCTGCTCCTGCTGGCAACAGGTTGGCTAATTTTTCCCTTGAAATTCATCTCCATCTGTATCAAAACTGTGGGCAACTATGGAATAGTAACACATGGGCTGGAGACTGCTGCATCACTTCATGTAAGCCACCAACCAGTCGTTCATGTGTGATGACTTCTACTCGGCACTGGTGTTTGGCAGGTCAGGTGACAGTGGAAGTCCTGGCACCTGGATATTTATACAGAAAGATTTATTATGGTAACTCTTATTGGCAGGACTTGCTCTTAAAAGGTTAATCCCCGCATAGATTGATATAGCTGAGTAGTAAAGTCTCTTGTAGAGCAGGAGTGTTCTGGAGGGCTTGGGCGATAAATAAGAGAAACATTCTGGTTTTCCATGGGTAACGGGGATGCCAAACCTCTTCAAGGCAAGTAACAGGTCTTGCGTGAGCCTTTTTCAGACCGCAAGACCTGTAAAAAGACCTATATAGGTCTTTTTCAGTGATGGCAAATCCATTGCTTAGTGTACAAAAGTAAGGTACAAAGAGAATGAATGAGGGAGTCTTGGAAGGCTATGGTTCAGTGCTATGGTTCATGTGACTCACTAGTCACATGCAGCTAATCAAATTAGAGGAAAATGTGGACAACCTTTTAAGGACTTTGAGCAGCTATATTCTAATCAGTCTGTTGCTGTTGTTTTTTGTTTGTTTGTTTTTTCAGGTACTTTTTCACATATCTTCTGCCACACTCTGCACCTCTACCTTTGCAGCCCTTTTTGCGTGATATTCTGAATGCAACAGGTACCAGCTAATATCCATAAACCAATCTTTAATACAAGATTGCAAATGGTATTTTGTGGAATAACTCATCTCTGCCATTTTTTTCTTTAAATCTAGGTGATTTACGATATGGTATAAATGAAACCTTGAAAGCTTTTGAAAAGGTTTTACATCTGTACAAGTCTGGGCTCTATCTACAGAAAAGACCCCTTCTTTTAAAAGGTACATGATTTCACATGCTTTAAGTAATACTAATAATTCCTGTAGCATTAGGTGCAAGACTTTTTAACTGGCCAAATTCTCATCTCTTTTGCATTCAGACAGTCTATGGTCACAAGAAATAGAATTAAACACCAGAATATCTTTGTTTTTCTTTTCCTCCCTCATTTGAGCAGCCTTTTATTGTTTCTCCGTGAGAGTTATGCATGATTGCCTTGTTTTGCAAAGGAAATGCAGTAGAGACAATCTGGCATACATATGAACGTATGTTTGCACTGCTTCTAAATACTGTTTTCAGAATGTTCATCAGCCTGTGTTTTAAAGTGAATTTATATATTTGCTATAGATACAGACCAGAGAGGTAAATTTGAGTCTCATATATTCTCTCTGCAGTAACATCTTATTCTCTTGACAAATAGGGCACCTCTCCATGTTGATACACAGTCTTCCCGTGTTTCACTCCATGGCTTCTGACTGGTCAGCACAATTTATAACAGAAGCACAAAGTGTGTGGGGTCCCCAACACTGACTGAGTTGAGTGTGCAGAGCAGCTACAACTCCATTGCCCTACTGTATTTCTGTATTTCTTTTTCTGTTTTTTTTTTGTTGTTGTTATTTTTATTACTTTTTTTTTTAATGAAGACTATTTGACGTATGGGTGGATAAAGTAACCAACCTCTGTGAAGTACATGCCTCTATATAAATGGGATCCATTCCATGGTAGAGATGTTGCTGATCATCCTTCCCACTGGAAAGGCTTGGAAAGTCCAGCAGTTACCATGGACTTTCCAAGTCCAACATTTTATCAAGTGTTTCCTCAAGGTGGTAGTGGCTTGAAGAAAAAAATCTCTTTGTGTTCAGTGGAGCTGGATTTGCACATTTATGAACAAAAATACCTGGTCATTTGTGCTGAAGGACCAGCAGTTTGCCATTGTTCTCCAAGGACACCTTCCTTTTGACTTAGCAGTTGGCCCAATAGCGATGTGCTAATGTGGTCACCATCCCAGAGGTGTGGGAGGGACTCCCCAGCGAACAGTGACCTTCCCATTGCCTGCTCGGGCTTGTTACGTCTTTTGTCTTCTGCTGGAGCAAGATCTGGCCTCCCTTTCCTCCACTGTGGATCCTAAATCTCCTGCACCTTTGGGTGTCACCATGATGTGTGAGTCACTATGTGCCCCACACCACTACATGGTGGATCTGCGATTCCACAGGAACTGGTGTTGGGGCTGAGGTGACTGCTGTGATGCTGGCTCCTCTGGAGCCCTGCTGGAAAGGCCGATCCCTACCACAACCCACTGCTGTAGCCTTTGCCCTCTTGTGCACCTCTTTAGTCTCACCCCGTCCTTTCAGCCCGTATTGATGCCTATAGGAACTTGAGAGAAGTTCCTATACATGCTCCATCATATATGTGGAGGAATTGCTGCTCAGTGCTTGAAAGCAGAACTACAGGTAAGGATCTGGGGGTTTTCTACTTTGGATCTCCACTCACACCATTTAAAGATCGGTTCCATCTATCACTATCTCATTTCCATGGAGAATTTCACTAGAGTGGTCAGTATAAAGTTTACCTTGTAACTAGTCACTGAAAATAGACTTAGTTTCTCTAAATACCATCTTTCTCTTCCCAGAGTACATCTCCTTGAAGGGCTTCCGAACAGTGGAAGCAGAAGACTATAAGTGCTGGCCCTCCTACAGCCACCTGGGCTGCCTGCTCTCCGTCCACAGCGCCGAGGAAGCCGCCGCGATTTGCAACTCCCAATCCCAGTGTCAGAGCTTCATCGTCACCCAGCAGAGGACATGGACAGGTGAGCTTGGGCCAGGAGGTCCCATGGCAGGAGCATGATGCCAGTGACCACATGGTGCCCGAGCCTCTCGGTCCACTCTCTCAGTGGGGATAACGCTGCTGCCATGGCACAGGGTGCATTGAGTCTACAAGAGCTGCCTTCCCTCTTCTCAAGGCAGGTGGCTGCCATGGGGAGCATCCAAGGATCCAGAGTATTTGCAAGGAGGGAGGTGCTGGCATAAGAGAAAAATTACCTTTTTGCCTCTGCAGATTTCTGTTGCTTTTCCAGAACATGCCATATTTTTCTAAATTTTTCTCCAACTTCTGAATAGCACCTCTTTGAATTGTTAAACAGTTACTTATTTCATATAGAGATGGCTTAATTTTTGTGTAGGTAAAACAATTCCTCTGGTACATATACTTTACAAAAAGTGTGGATTTTGTGGGTTTTTTTTTTTTAATGAGATGAAAGTAACTGTGCGAAAGTAGGTAGTTACTACTGCTACTACTTGGCAGAATCATAGCTTAGAAGTTGTTACCTCCTTTGTCAAAGCTGGAGCTCCAAACCAGTGGCTTTCACAAATGTCCCTGTAATTAGCTCTGATTACAGTCTTTTATAGTTAGCATGTATTCAGGATTATATTATAAATTACCTCATTTAGCTGACACTTCAATCGTGAATCATTCGTAAAGTAAAACAGTAAATGAGGCAAATGAGTGTTTTCAGTGGCAGTGCTGAAAAGCCATGCCTAGTCAGCTCACATGGCAAATTCTGTTAAAACAACAACAAAAATGCAGTCTTTCATGAGTTTGTGTAGAACTGGCCTAAGTTTAGCCCTTGACGTGAGAGTGCTCACATTAATACAGCATAAAACTCTGGATTTAGTGTGTCACTGGGAAGAAATGCACTTAAAGCTGTGCAAAATGATGCAGAATAAGAAGTGATGTGGAAAGGATTACCCTTTCTGCAGTGAGTGCCACGGTGGTCCTTGCCCACCAGCCCTGTTCCTGCAGTCTGTTACGTTCCTTTTGCTGCAGTTTTTCTTCTTGCGTTTTTACAGTAAATCTCGTCAACCGAAGATGACAAAAAGTATGTCACAGGCCTAACTTTTCCATTTGGATTAATGAGAGTGGTGGGAAGATGCCAGTCCCTCTTAGTGCAACTTTGTCAAGCAAGCAAGACGTGAAAGCCTTTTGGGTCTGATTTTGCATCCCTTGCTCTGCTCCACCAGTGTCTGGAGTACATTGGGGGTGTTAAACACATCTGCAGCAGGGCAGAACGACCCTCCTGTGAGAAAGGATCATGTTCCTGACTCTCTTGGAAGAAACAGCATGAGTCAAAATGAGCCTATCTATCTCCACTATTAAACTTGAATTTTTATTTCCTTTCCAGGACGCCCACTTGCCTCATTTCAGAGCAGCCCGACTGATTTAATACCGGATGTTAATGCCGTAGTCTATATAAAACGATCAGCTTCCTCAGGGGAAAGACTTTAAAGACAATGAGATCACAGAAAAGGGTGCTGGGAAGAACAACCGTTGGGGAGAACTTCAGCTACTGAAAAGAATGACATATTTTATTTCGCTTTAGAATGCAAACTCCCTGCCAGCTCAGATTGAGTCAAACGCTGCTGCCTCCTTGATCAAAGCTCAGATTTCTCCTTGCAGAATGCTCCCTTCTCCACCGCCCTGCTAGCTTCTTCATCTGTTCCCACACTCTGCTGTTCCTCATAAAAGTGCTCAGTTTTAGTCAAATGTTGCTAGAATGTGCAATCCCCAGCCTTGCTGCTTCAGTAGCCAGCTTGTGAGCCAAGAAATAGAAATAGCCGCAAGGGACCCGGCTGGAGTAGGCCTAGATAGTTCAGCAGTCTCTGAAAGACCACGAGTAATGAACGTGGCTCCTCCTGCAGCCGCCAGCAGGGATTTCACACCATTGCAGCTGTAAAGGTCGAGATTTCAGTGGTGGGACCAATGTTGCAGAGTTGGGATCCATAACCAGAGGTTGATGATGGGGGTGGTCTTCAAAGTAGGGTTTTGGTTCTGTTCCTCTCAGGGCAGGGGAAGGGAGGTGTGTAGAGATCACCTCCGGAACCATGTGTCTGAGTGTTTGCATGTGGGATTTCAGTTTTATCCTCTGTGGTTTGTAATGCCAGCTCCCATGTATCAACCTTGAAGGTTTTTTTCTCTGTTACTTTCCATGAAAGAGTGAGACATTCAAATTATTTATGTATGAAATGTTACTCTGTATGATAAAGAATGACTACGTTTATTCTAAGCACAGTGTGAAAAGCTTGTTTTGTTGTTTTTTAATTATCTGTGTCTTTATTGCAACCACATGAACAAATGCAAATGTTCTCCACCTCCACACACTTAGCAGCACCTAACAGCTGGGGACAACCTGCAGGCATGCCTGGCAGTGGGCAAATTCACCCAAGCCTCTTGGAGTGTTAGATCCTGGAGGGCACTAGCTCTGCTTGCAGGCTCACAGGTATAGCAGAGAAAGTCTGGTCTCAAGAGACTCCTGAATCTGCCCTAGCAGTTTTGATAGATGTGGCCTCTGAAAAACAGGGCTTTATTGCATTTTCAGACTCTCAGAGATGTTAATATAATGTGCTACTCCTATGAGTGTCTGGAATCACTGGCCATAAGGTATTTTGCTATCTCATTTGCAATGTATTCAGAAAAGCCCAAGGTCTCTGCAAGGGACGGTGTCTAGCCAAGCCCTGCAGAGGAGCTCAGCCTGCAGCCTGTGTGTCACAGGGTTGTTTTTCTGCCGTGCAGAATCGCTGCTCTTGGGACACTGCCATGGACTCCCTGGAGCCTCATCTGTGTGTGGATGTTTCCAGGCCTCTGTAGCAGCCTGGGTATCTCTAGACTGAGGAAGCCCAAGCTCTTGCCCTGGGTTGTGCTGTGCCTGGCACAGGCTGCCTGGTTTCCTACTGCAGGTGCTCACCTGGCAGCTCATTAGGACCCTATTAATCCTCAGCAATGCAATTCCAGGGAGGTTTTCTCATGCAGCACAGCCAAGGCTCCCCTGTCAATTAGAGAGCACTCCGTGTTAGCACAACAAGAAGGCTCTTCTTACCGTGATGACCACTCTGCCACAGGCTTTGTGAAGGCAAAGCTTTTTAATGGGCAGCCATAAAGGGTTCTCTCCATTACAGTGGGAGTCCCAGGAAAGGCCCTGCCAGGGGTCCTCTGTTTTGGGGTGAGAGCCTGCTGAGCAAGGCCTGGGCCATCTGCTCTGTGGTGCTTCCCATTAGCAAGCCCTAATGAGAGTCTATTCCATGTCTCTCAGCCTGGTGAGACATAAATCAGAACCACATCCCCAAAGGAAAGGCCAGCCTGGGGTCATTGAGGAAAGTACAAAAACTCAAAGGTTGAAGTGATTCTGATTTGTGTTAGAAATTTTAGGACATTTAACTGTCCCTCAAAATCTTTCCTGGCAAGAAGGTAAGGCCAAGGCTCTGAGAGCACTGTGCAGTTTAGTCATGACGTACTCCTTTCACGTTGCAGATTTTTTCCATAAAATTTTCCTCGTATTATTTATTTTCTGCAAATCAGAGTCAGGTCCAGCCTGTGTCAGCAGAGGGGGCATGACACAGCACTGTTATTTGTATAAACGCAGATTCCAGCCTCAGACCTACAGTTGTTGGATTCTGTGAGCAGAGATCATATCGTCCTATCTGGGAAAGCTTTGAGCACATGGCGCTTAACCAATAATAAAAAAAAATTAATAAAAATGGAACTTAAGCTTCAAAGAATCCCCATTGCCTGAGATGTTTTCGCTGGACCAGGTGGCTTTTGCAGGAAATTTAGTCTGCTCTCTCCAAATGCGAGATACATTCTTAGAGCCCTGACCTCATCAGTGCCTTTAATGCCCCCCTCCACTTCATCCCACTGGGTATCCGCTCTGCTGAACCGGAGTGGCCACGTGTCGGCTTCTGCCCACCTCCCTCCATGCCAGTGCTAAGATTTGTCCTTCATTCATATTTGGGTGCAAGTCCTGACGTTTGCACCTGTAAAACGGGGAACAGCAAATATAAATGTTCACAGCCACTGGCTGGGGCACACACACATGTTTATGTCCAGTTCTGTTACTGTACTTAGGAGACACTCAAAATCTGTGTTAAAAGTGCACGCACCTCTCTGCAGCGGGTAACACCTGGTGGCTGTGGCAGATTCAGGACCATTTGAGATTATATCCTCCTCTTGTAGTCAAATGATGCCTGGAGAATGTTGGATGAGGTCTAAGAAATTAAAACATTTTATCACTCCCTGAAATTAGAGCAATAGTTTGACGTGTGTTTGAGCAAACACTGCCACCAGAAAAAGCAGTTCCCACTTACTTTTTTTCCCCTCGCCTCTTGTTGCTGCCCTCTGCCAAGAAACCTTTTCCAGTGGTAGTCCTGGTTTAAATGGGTGTGAAAGGAATTTGTGCAAGCCTGCAGCACCTGCTGGTGATGCTCAAGCTTCACGCAAGAGGAAGTGTATTCTGTAGAGCCCTTGTGCATGCGTGGCTTCTTCGTAGCAAACTCTCTTTATGTCCCATCTCAGGCAGTTAGTCTTTATTCATTCCATCCTTTTATTAAATTACAATTGCCTCAAGCTGCTTTACACTTTCAATTCCAGTGCAAATTCCAGTGTATGCCTAAAAACTGTATTTCAGTAACTGTGGTACATGCAAACCTGGGATATAAAAGTTTGTTGCCTCTAAAGTTCACCATTGCTGCAGCTAACTTGTCTCTGCTATTGCTGCTTGGTATTTCAGCCACCGCTGTGGAAGATGTAAGAGAGTAAAGTGCTTGGGAGGAAACAGCAGGGGATCAATTGCAATGGAAACCATGTGTGCTGGAGGAATAATATTTACCTAAATGTGTCTATCACAACTTCCTGAAGGATACAGCTATTAGGAGAAAAGGGATATTAAAATGTTGCCTTCACAGATAAAAGTTAGAAATACCATCCTTTTAAACACAAACTTGAATATTCTTAATTAATTCCATATTGCAATAACAAGAGATAAAGCCACATCCATAAAGGATAATGCCATGTACTCCAAAGACATAAACCACAGTTTAATAAATAGCAACAGATGCAGAATGACTGCATACTGATGTTTGCAAGTGACCAAAGGCAAAGCAATTCATGATGTATCAGTAAGGAAGGGTTAAAATAATAGCAAAAATAACACTTGTATTTTTGCATTTCATGTTTTGCAACTCAATAATGTTCTCAACAACATTCAAAAGATTGAATTTCATTTTTTTCCGAAGCATTTGTGAAAACCAGATCATTACAAGCAGCTGTAGGCCCAAATCATGTATCTGAATTAACAGTAATTTCATGAACCAAACACTGATCTTTGTGACTACAGGTCAGATCACTTCATCTTATGGAGTCAAAGCACCTATTCTGTGGTCCTGTTGGAGGAGTTAGTTAGAGGAAGCAAAACTGCAGTATCTAAAATAGCTGGTCATAACGGCTTAGTAGGGCTTAGAATAAGTTCTCCCCCCAAACTGCTTGTAGTGCTTTCACCGATCCTCCTCCTTGGTTAAATTGTCCCAGCACACTAAGGTGATACCAAGAGCAGTGTGGAGATGGTGATGATCAATGAAAATTTGTACAAGTTTATGTAAGGGGCAACCATACTCTTCTCAACTTCCTCTATAGCACATGTTTAATTTTGGATGATTGATTTGCCCTCAATGCTAGTTCTTGGCTAATAGGAAAAAGTGTCAGACTGCATCAAACAAGTCCATGTGCACCAGGGAGGGTGATAGCCAGAGACTGCCAAACTCTTCCACTCAAAATTCAGCTCCTGGCTGTGTGTGAGAACTTCAGGCAACATCTTGTGCAATGGAGCTTTTGCCTTCCTGGCTGAGGATCCCACATGGCAGAAAAAGTGGGCCAAAGGGTGGTGGACACTTCTCCATGTGACCTTGAAGGAAGTCAGGATGCTGATGGTTCTGGAAAAAAAAGACATATTTGTTTTTTTCTGGGCATCAAATGCCATCCACGTGCTGCACTGCCCTATCCTCAGTCATAGAATCATAGAATCATAGAATGCCGAAGGTTGGAAGGGACCTCAGAGGTCATCGAGTCCAACCCCCCTGCTCATGCAGGGTCACCTAGAGCACGTGGCACAGGGCTGCATCCAAGCGGGTTTTAAAGATCTCCAAAGAAGGAGACTCCACAACCTCTCTGGGCAGCCTGTTCCAGTGCTTTGTCACCCTCACAGTGAAGAAATGCTTCCTTAAGTTCCTGTGGAACTTCCGATGCTTCAGTTTGAAGCCATTTCCTCTAGTCCTATCCCTGCCCACCACTGAAAAGAGGCCGCCCCCCTCCTCCTCACTGCCTCCCTTGAGGTATTTATACACGCTGATCAGGTCCCCCCTCAGCCTCCTCTTCTCCAGGCTGAACAGACCCAGCTCTCTCAGCCCAGCCTCTCTCAGTCCTTCCTGACTAGCCCATCAGATGTGGAGCAGGTGAGAATGCTGATGTACTCCTTGCCCTCCATGTAGACCCTTTGCCCCAACATCCATGTCATCTCAGTCTCATAGCTCAATCTCATATTAGCCAGGCTAATATGGCCAGGGAGCTACAAGGTCACCTGCTGTCCCAGATCAATAGGTAGAAGCAGGTATCACATGGGAGGGATGTAGTCACAAGATAAACTTGTCTTTGATTTATACCCTGTCTTTTCATTTGCCATCAACCATCTCTAGATAAAGAAATGCTAAATCCTGTACCCTGTAGGTAAGGAAGGGTAAAGCTATGTATTCACAGCATGGTGCCCTAACTACATCATATTATTGATATGCTACATCATTCCAAATCCAAATTTGGATGAGACTTAAGAAAAGGCAAATTTCTACATTATGCTTATCAGCCTTTATCTTCAAACTCCATCAAAATCAATGGAAGTTTCTCCCAGACTTTTTGGATGAAATCTATTGTGCTACTCAGGGTACTGGAAACGCAAGATCCAGCCTCAAAATGAATTAAAACATCAACCGCTCCCTAGGCAAAAAAGTAAACAATGAAATTTTCAGATTCTTGTATCTGTAAATTATCTCTGTCCACATAATGTCTTTAGCAAGTGAATTGTTTTTTTTCTGCTGGGAAAAACTCGCTGCAAATGCTCTCACTGCTTCAGATCAGAGAGTTCTGGTTCAGATTAAGAGCCTGATAATGAAACCTGGGGACACAAGTTAATCATCACATTGGGCCTTTTATGTGTGTCTTGGGGACACTTGAGCACAGAGGATATTTTCTAAGACCTTGGATGGAAAATACTGAGAAACATTTGAGGATAACTAGGTGCTGTGTTTAGTTCAGTGCTCTTCCTTGCTCATGTGAAGAGGGAGTCATAAACTCCCACTCCTAATTAATCTTGTCCCTGTTTGTTTCTGCTGATTCTTTAAATAGGCAAGCTGCAATTCCCTGTCCCTCTCAGCAGAGTTAATGCCACAGCTCATAATTTCGGGAGAGAATATTTCACTTTGTCTAGTAACTGCTGTGACATGACTGTGATAATTAGCCTCACCTCCAAAGCAAAGCAGCTACACCAGGCTAAGCTCACTCTAGAACAATGTTAAACCCAAAGTTTTACTAGCAAAGCTAAAGACCAGTCAAGATATACTCTAGAAATAAAGCACGGCGTAATCACGGCAATTGGCCTGTTTGGTGATTTGCTGTATGGCAACAACAGTTAAAACCTCTCCTGAGACCCTTGTGAATCAGCTAAATAATGTTTGCTCTGTCAGGAAACTAGAGGCATTAAGCTTCTTGCAGCAGCTTCCAGTAACCAACTGACATTTATTTTTAAGGGGGAAAAAAAGATGGAATAAGTATTTAAGTACTGTAGTTGATTAGATGTTTTTTACTTTATGTTCATTGTGTGCTTTGTCTTTGAAAGAGGTCAGTGGTGTGTTGTTGGATCAGTGCTTTGATCAGCTTGCTTAACTGGCCCAGGGCCGCAGGAGCCTCTTCCCCAACATTGCCTTTGGACCTTCTGGAGTGTCAGCCCGTGATGATGGAAATGCCAAGACAGAGCGGCTGGTCCCGGCATGCCAGGCCAGACCCACTGGGACATTTGCTTGTGCCCCCTGTCCAAAGAATCTCCTGACCAGAGCTGGATCTGACGGTGATTTTCTCAGCACAAGGGCTGAAGTGCAATGTGGCTTCTGCTCTGTTTTAAATACACATATTGCAAATTCTCCGTTCGGAGCCATTGCTTAGCCAAACAACTTCAGTCCTGCCAGGCTGCGGATGAGCTGCCTTGGGAAAGGTGAACGGTTCCCATGCCAGAAACCAAATCAAAGCTCTACCTTCCTCCTCAGAAGTGCAGCTTCACCTCGTGTGACCCCCGTCCCGCGAGGACCCCGGTCTTGGGCAGATCAGCTCTGCACGTTCGCGCACAGGAAAGGAGCAGCGAGAACAAAGAGGGCACCCCACCCTCTTCCATTTCTTTAAGATCAGACAGAGCATGTAGGCTAAGCCTGGAGGACTGGATTTATGGATTCAGAAGAGCATAGTTATTAAAATGTTATGAAAGTTTTTTCCTCTGCTTTAAATGCATAAATATGCAGATGAAAGGAGCCATGTGATCTGGCCACTGGCCACGCTGCTGCAGGCTCAGCCTAATTACCGGCTGCCAGCGCTGCTGCTTTTTAAGTGGTGAGCATGATTAAGGCTGGAAAGACAACAGGGGGAAGCTCGATGGGCTCTTACAGGGCCTGCTTCTCCTTTGTAACCACATGGCAGCCTGGCCTTGCGACTGAATCTGCCCTTACAAGCTGAGGGAGAGCAGTTGTACTGATCACACGGTTTCGCTCCAACCACAAGCTCCACGTGCTCCTGGATTCGTTGCATTCATAGCGAGATGTTTTGCCAAAGCTAATGGTATTCTTCCCCACATCCGAGAAGGGGAGCACTCCGTAGTGTGGCAGCAAAGTGGGTGCTACTGCACCGCGGTACATGAAGGCAAACCCTTGGCAAGCGCGGCCTAAAATACATCTGCCCAAGCACAGAGGTGCTGACCCATTTTAAGCACGTGCTGGAAACAGAGTTCCTGGGCTTCTCCTCTTGCTAGGAGCAAGAAATATCATTGCAAGATATTTCCAAAGCCCAGCAAAACTCTAGTGTCTTGGGGAGCATCATGGCCAAGACCAAGAAGGGGATTCTGCTCTCTGGAGTGGCCAGTTTTCCAGCTTGGCTTCGTAGGTGTCACAGTTAAAACAGGGTCAGAGGGCCTGGCAGCGTCCGTGCTTCCATGGCCTGTGCTCGCAGGGACAGGGCCTGGATCTGCCAAGGGAGATGCCTCCTCCAGCTTCCTGAGGGACAGCAAAGATGGAAAAGATCATGATTATCACAGCATGGAGCTGGGAGCCTCCACAGCCCCCTGCCTCCCTAGGTGGCCTTGAGGCTCTCAGTCTTCATCTCATGTGTGTTAAGAAATAAACCACATAAGAAATGTGGCTTGCTTAGGAAGCCCCACTGTCATTTTGTATTCCCGTCAAGTATTTCATGTTGCAATGGTGGGAATGCAGCATCGTTGCTGCTCCTAAGTAACCAAGGGTCCTTAAAGAACAGTTTTATGATTACATTTATGATTGTATTTCTCCTATTATGTCTGCTTGGAGCCAATTCCCAGACCACGTTCCATCTTTTAAGAGTAAAGTAGTATTAGGCACTAACTGCTCATTAAAACCTTTTCTAAATCACAGTCACTTTTACTATTTGACAAAACAAACATGCTTCATCCTAGAGAGTAATCCGTTCCAGAAGATAAGGGAAAAGGGCGAGATATCAGTGCTAATTATCCTATAAAGGACATTCCATACTGCTCCGATATACGCAGCCAGGCCCCAGAAGTCTGTTTCTTCCAATCATTAATAATGCACAAGCGTGCTGCTCTTTCTAGTCCCAGCCAGATGCCTCCGTATTGTGAGACCTCTCTCACTAATATATTCTCTGGTAGAGGAAAAGGGAAACAAACACATGCAGGGAACGGCAGGAATATATATATATTTTAATAATTCTCTCTCTTCTGTTCTTGGCATTTGTTTGCATTTAAACATGAGGACGGTTCTCTCATGAAGGAAGGGAAGGGGGCTGTGTGGCAGCCTGCTTGCTCTGTCTCTTTTCTCTTCCAGGTTAATTCCCAAGGAGCTGTATGGTGGGATGGATGTTAGTGCTTCCCACAGTCTCCTCCCCGTAGCAGCTCCTCTGAAGCCAACATTATCTGTAGATTTGCATCTCAGCCTTTCTATCTCCTCTCTATTTACACAGTGTTCATGCACACTCTGGCCACACAGCAGGCTCCTCTTGGGCTGGTCATCTGCAAACGGACTGGTTTCGTGACCAGGGAAAAATGCATGTGATTAGATTTAAAAGTACGGCTCAGATACCCTTGTAAGCCTCTCCATTTTTATCAGTGAAGCGCTGGGGAAAAGAAAACAAATAATTAAATCAAAGAGTGAGAAAAAGCAGGAGCTCCTAGCTGTGGTTTTACCAAGCCAAGTCAGGGACTTGCCACGGCCAAAGAGGGGTCTCTTAATGTCCCTCTCAGCTCCCACCCCTGCTCTGCCCTCGAGGTATCTACCAGGTACCTGGCACTGGGGAACCGATTCCCCCCGCTAACGCAGCAGGAAACCTTCCAGGTGAGGAGATGGCGACGGGTGCGCTCAGCCAGGCCGCTCCGAAGGGATGAGCACGGAAAGGCACGGGGTGCTGAGGAGCAGGGGAGTGTGCAGATAAGCGGGAGATGAAGTGAGGGCTGGGGGTGAGCGGCGATCAGCCTGGCTCTGTCCCTGCCACACACACATTAAGGAAAAAATAAATAATAAAAAAAAAGGTCCCCAAAGGGACAGGAGTGCATGGAGAGGAGGAGGAGGAAAGTCAGCAGGGCTGGAAGGGGCAAGTAGGTTGAGTCAGGTTTCTGTGGCACAGCACCATTGCCTGTGCGTTTTCACAGGCTATTGAAGCCAAAATCCATATTTCTTGAAAAGCTTTCCCCCTGCTTTCCTCACTCCAGCAGCACCAGCAGTACTTCTAAGCAGTCAGACAGATCGACTGCTGTCCGACAGCTAAAAATTGACCCTTCCCTGAAAACTGTACTAGTCTTAAGTCCGAGTAGCTCCCTGATGCGGAGCGCGTGAGGCAGCAAGGCCGTGGCTGGGAGCCAGGGGCGCTGGACAAAGAGCACTTGGCCACCGGCCACCTCCGCAGACCCAGGCTGACCTCGGTTAGGTAAGAAAATGCACTCTGGCCAGGGCTGAGCTCCTTACACTTTGCTAGCTTTCCCTAGCAAGGAATTTCACAGACTCCTTACATTTTTAACATGTAGAATATACTGTTCCATCCCTATTTATGGGGAGACTCAGGTGCCTAGTTTTCCCTTTATACTGTGGGGCAATAGAGACTGCTCATCCACATTATTTTGAAATGACAATGGTGAGTGCCAGTCTGGTCCCGCTCACCCCAAATGAGGGTGCTCCCTCCAGGCCCTCAGAGACACTCTTATTTCTCTGACCTTGCAATGAGTCAGTCTAGGGAGATAAACTGGCAGAAAACTTTTTTTTTTTTTTTTTTTTTCAGGTGTGATTTCTGCCAGTGTAGTTTCCTAAACTAACTTACTGCGTAGTCAGCTAAGCATCAGTGCCAGCATGTAGGGATGAGATGATGCTGGGTGAGCACACCGGGTGAAACACCCATTAGATGTGCTTTATTGCTGGGTAACTACAGCTTACACTGCTCAGGCACCTGCTGATTCATTTGTAGAATGAATTCATTCATTGTAGAATTCATTCATTCTACAAATGAAACAGATTCATTTGTATTTTGAATGCACCATCAAGAAGGCCAGGATGATACAAGTGCTAAATATTCTGCATGACCCAAACTGCAAGGGGCTACATGGATCTTTTTGGTGTTCATGCATGGCCTGGTTACTAGTAGGAAAAATCTCTCTTCTCGCAGCAGGAGAGGAAGCTGCCACAGGTTTGTGCTCTGCGCCTTGTCCCGCAGGACATCTCAGCCTTGTGCCCAATTTTGCTCCTGTGACACCCCCTTGGGAAGCTGATTCCGTGTTCGAGGGGCTCTGTGCCTCCCTGAAGAGGTGGCACATCCAAGGACACACACAATGGGTTTAATTTCCTTTCAGGCTACTCACATTTTGTGCCTGTTTTATTTATGGTAAATTTTAATGGGCGAAGAGCATGGCAGGTGTAAATCATGTGGATTACCCGGCCTTATACTGCACATTAACTTTTCTCCTCATATGAGCAAGCAGAAAAGAACATGCAGTTCTGTCAATGTGAAGCCAACAGCCAAAAACTGTGGAAGAGAGATCCCAAAGTGTGAGTCAGCCCAGCTCCACGTCCAGCCATTATTTTCTAAGAAAAAGTGAATAAAAGGCAGACTAGAGGAGCCAGAGTGTGCCAGGACTGCAGCACAGCTATGCCCAGGAACCAGCTAAGACTGGGCTGACAAACGAGCATCTTCAAAAAAGGTGCAAAACTGAACATAGCATTCTGTGTAAGTCAGGGAAGCTTCAGTTTTTCTATATTGCAAAAAGGAATCAGGGTTTAGGGAGAACTCTCCTTACATGCTGGCATTTCAGTTCTCAGCAAAAGAGCCAGACATATTTTATAGCCCAGCTCACAGGGAGTCAGATTTCATTTCAGCTACAACGTAAAATTTTTAACATATTTTTTTCATGTTAAAAAAGGACAATTTTTAGGACAGCTTCCAAAAGCACTTGTTGGAATTTCCCAGGCTTTCGAGGCCGCAGGCAGAGCTGGCAGAGGTGGTACCTCGAGCGGTGCTGCTGTGGTCTTGCCTTTTTGCCTGGCGGGATGAGCCCCACCTTGGCAGAGCGGGATGGAGCGATGCCGGCTCCGTGATCACTGTTGTCTCTGCAAGGAAGAGAATGCCTGCTTTTAAGCTGATTTAATTAAAATGATACCAATCTCACTAATGTAAACACAAAACAAGGGAAAAATGTATCTTGATTTAAATGCTTTGTAACATACCAAACGTACCGTAAACTGGAGGTTTAAGTGAGGGTTATCTGGCTCATGCATGTCTTGCTCATGAGGTTGTGTTTAGAGTTTGGTTTAAAGGCAGGCAATGAAAGCTGCTGCCTAGCGTTGACAGAAGGTAGCGCCAGCAAAAAGGCAAATTTGCAAAGATGAAAGAGTTGTTATTATTCCTGTTTAAAGTGGCAAAACTGATGAGTTTCGTCTTCGTAGGACTTTTATGGGAAAATTAGAAAGCTGACTGGAAAGGGTGGGAGAAGAAAGTAAGGCAATATCTGTGCTGATTTAACTGCATTTTTCCTCAAACGGAGGAGGACGGGTAGTGTGGTGTGGGAGGAACCACGTCAAGGAGTGGGACCTGGGCTGGGAGGAGACAGAAAAGCCTAGGATGGAACTCCAGCCTCCAGGGCTCCAGGGAGGAGAGGCTGGGCCGGCTTAATGGAGCCGGCAGCATGTAGTGGTCTGGAAGCAAGTGGTGAGAACGGCTGCTCTGTGTCCACCCTTGTCTTGGCCCATCTGCTTCTTGTCTTGGCCCTTGGAGTTACTGATTCAGAGGTCCTAGGTGGATATTTCAGATATGTGAGGGCCTTCTTCCTGCAGCTTCTGTGACGCCATGGAGATCGCAGCAAGAAGGATATGCACAGTAATGGAAAGATAACGATCCCAGGCTATCTGCAAAGCTGCCAAGGTTGAGGTGCTGTGGGAAGGGTGTGAGGGAAGAAACCACATCTTTTTCCCCAAAGACTGTTCTGCTGCCATGTGAACCGCACTCTACGGAAGTTTCATTTGCCAACCAGACATACCAGAGAATGGGAGATGTGCAAATCTAATGTATGTGTCTCTCTGTCATAAACCCCAACTGATTCAATGGACTATGTGCTGCTCCGTCGCTTCCCATCCTTGCTTTCCAACCTACACTCTGCAGACACGGATGCCACATTGCCATCAGGCTGTGACTCACAAACATGAAAATCCATAATCCAAAATGAGTTGCTACATTGCCCGAGCTTAGAGAAATGCAGTGAGTTTGAGTCATTTGCTTTAATTGTCATAATGAATGAAATGCTAAGAACTGAAAACTTGCTGCTTCAGATAATGCTATCTATGCCATCAGGTAGAAAAACAGGCTACACAGAGCTTGTCAGCTGCCTATCATCATCCCTTGGGTCTGTAGCAGAGCTAGGTATAAAATACTAAAGGCCTGAGGGTATTTTTGCTGGTGCTTCCCAGGCAGTGTGTGAAAAGGGTTTATTAACTTCAGTGCAGAGCAGTGCTAACGGTGGCTACTCACTTCCTAATTTGAAGCTGCCTTCTATCCATACAGTTTAGGGATATCCCCTGTGGCAGAAAAAGATCTGTCTGCAAAATATTGTACAAATACAACAGTTCCCTCTCCTGGGGCTTAAGCATTCCTTTAGGCTTTACTCCTGTTGCAGGTAAGGTGTTCAGCAAACCATAACATTTATTCTTGAACATGTACTAATGTAAGTGCCTATATTAGAGAAAAATCATACCTCATTCTGCAATGAGCTACGGAGATGGCAAACACACTAGGAAAGACATATGCTTACTTAGAGTCTAAGCAGTAACGCATCAGAGGAGTCACACAATTAAATGATTTCACTCTTCCACCTTCCATTTAGCAATCAATGAAAGTTCTTCCTCCAGGGAAAAGCCAGACGAGAGAGGAGAGCTTGGCCCATTGTGTTGCCTGTGGTGCCAAAAAGAAATACATCATGATTTATATGTTAATGAGCAGCTCTCGTTAGGCAATGCATTCGGCAAGGTGTTGCAATGGAGGACTGAGAGGTTTATCTGTCAGACGAAATTAATTCATCATCAAAGTGAGACAGAGGGCTCCCTGGTGAGCACTGTAAATAGGGCATTGGGAGAGTGACAGAGCACTGGGTGGCATGTTCCCCCAGTTAGCGCCGCTATTGACACTCGCTCCCGCGCCTGCTCCCGGGCTCCAGCTCATGCACATTATTTATAGAGCGTTTCACATTCCTGGTCGGTATCCAGTCAATGTTGGTTTCAATTAGAATAAATGCTTATTGATTGCCAGGAGATGGGCTGGCTGATTAGCTCCTTGGGAAGCAGAGCACGCTGCTGGCAGAGGCCGGCTGGGCTCCTCGCTGTGGCAGAAGTGCATGGGCTTCTGAAAATTTGTCACGGAGGAGAAGGCTTCTAGACTAAATCAATTCATTGGAGAGCCCATCTAATAAAGATAAATGGCTAACTTCATTAGAGAATTAGCGATAGGCCTGATAAAACCCCCAGTGGGAGACCTATTGATTTCAGCAAGTTTTGGATCAGCCCAGTGTCTGCCTTGAAGCAGTGGTTTCCAAACATTTAGGCTACTCAAAGATATGTGCACATAGCCATGCAGTAAGAAACAGCAGACACAACATGCCTAAGCGCAAAGGGCTTCAACTATAGATGGGGGGGGCTACAGAGGGAAACCGAGAGTCTAAACACCAAACAAAAAAAAGAGCATCTTCATTTACAGCAGCAGGCACAATTTCTTTAGATTCTAAGGAAGAAATTCCAAGCTGGATAAGTGCTCCAGGAGCATGAAATTGCAATGCATTCCCCCCTCCCCAGTTCTGCATGCATTTTCACAAGCACAGCTGGATCTAGGTGGCATGACTGACTTCGCTGTGTGTTTGGGCACCTGAAACAACGTGCTAATAGTCTCATGCTATGTATGACACACACCGCTGATCTGATTATGCACAGTTCTCCCGCTTTGAATAATAGAGGAGAGCTGTCTGCACTCATTCACATCATTTATACGTGATTAAATTACTAGGATCTTTACAGGTTGGCTATCACCATGCTCGGATCTCAAGGATCTCTCACAACAAGGGCATCAGCTAAAGCGGAGATTTGTTAAGCTGCTGGGAGCAGGCGGCTTGCTTGCTGGAAGCACTGGCAAGGTGCCCAACCTTGATTCTTGGAATCCTTTTCATGACATCCATGGAGTTTTTGAGCCTGCAGAGTGTGAGTTTTTGGGGGTAACTCGGCAGCTGCGGCACTGCTTTGCTGTGGCCGGGCTCTGAGAGATCTCTCCCAGAGCAGGGGGCCCTCCTGCTGCCCCTGCGCGCCGGGTGCCAGGGCAGCTCCTGCAAGCCAGACAAGAGCGCCATGCGGAGAAGAGCCGAGTTTCAGGGGCTGGGAAAAGTTTGGCAGCTTCCCGATGTGAGCAAGGCAGCACCTTGAGGAGGATTTTGAGACTGCACCCTGCTGAGATGTGTGGCCCAGGAGAAATAGAGCGGTTTTAAGCGAAGCGAAAATATTTTAAAGCTGACTCCACTTCGGTCCCTGTGCTGGGATCTCATGGAGCAGGCATGCCTGTCCCTGTGTGTATAGACACCCCCCCAGCACTGTGTGGGTTTGCTCCTCTTCCAGGCCTTGCAGAACCCACACCTCAGAGTAGGCCCAATGGGACAAAATGGCGCCTTTCTCCAAGGCTGCCTGCAACTGGCTGGTGGGGAGAGAGGAGCAGGGCCCATGTGCAGTGCTGTGAGCACCGTGCAGGGCTCTGGGGTGGGATCTTTGCAGGCGCCGAGTGTATTTGCTGCACGCTGCAGCGTTCCCCTCCTGTGGCCAGGCTGGGCCGGTGCAGCCAGGATGCGAGCAGGCAGCTCCCAGCTGCACGAATGGGGCTTGGAGAGAGGGTTCAGCACAACCTTTGCTTATTTTGATTCCCCCCTTCACATTTCCCAACATTGTTCGGAAAGTGCAGGTCACTCTGGAGGCAGGGCCAAAGTAGGGCTCAGAACAAGGCCGGGATACTGCAGCCTCATCCCTCTCACCAAGGGCACCTTCCCGAGTACAACGTGACCTTGCCAAGCACAAAAAGCAAACTGGATGGAAAGGGAGATGCTTCACTGTGGTGCTTTAATCCTCATGAATCCATGAGAACAGCAATCCTGTAAATGATTAATGAGTCCTTCATTATTCATGCCCATGTTGGGCGCTGCCAGGGAGCGTCCTGCACAGCCTGGCACTGGCCAGGGCTGGCCCAGGCACGTGGGGGTTGCGCTCTCCTCCCGGAGGCAGCTTCTGTGCAGGTTGCTTTGTCAAATCCCAGAGGTAGCATCAGTGGCATAAAAGCATTGCAGAGAAACCACTGTCTTTTTAAGCCTTTTATTTATTTTATTTTTTTTTCCCTTGGCCGTTAGTGGTCAGGTTTTAAGGTTTAATAGAGTCAGGCAATCGAGTGTTATTGGATTGCATTCTGGCTTATGCAGTATGTTATGCACAAAGATGGACTGAGGGATCATTATGGAGTTTATAGTGGTTAACATCTTACAAGAGCCTTGTCTAGTGTTTTGCCGGCAGGCAGGATTGAGGAAGGAAATTCCCTTAGAGTCCGTACACGGATCAGCAGGAGTCAAACAATTTGATCTGAGCTTTCCCTAAATCCCAGGATTTTCGCATCCAGCCTGAGCTTGCGGAGATGAGCCTGCGATGCTCCTCTCAGGGGGGACGTTTGCGCCTGACATTTGCGGGTCTCATACCCTTGCAGCAGGAGCGCTAATTACCCACATCATTAGCGCTGTGTGCCCTGCTGGAAGTGTTATCTAGGAGCACAGGGCTTTGCTGGGAACATTCGCTCCGATGTAGGACAATGTAATTATTATTACCATCAGAGAAGGGAATGACTAATAAGGACCTTCAGAGAGTGTTTCATTCATCCTTCGCTCCATGGCTTCAAAGACAACTATAAAAGGCATAATTAAGTAGCTTGAGTGCTAAAACTGCCTTGGCTCTTTTAGCTAATTTCTTTCCAATATCAAGACATAAAGTGGACAATAATTCCCCAGCAGGGCTACATCTCCACCCTTAATGAGCTAATGGAGCTTACATCTGTCTGCTCTCATGTTTCACACTTGCTGTTCGCTCCTACCTGTTGTGCGCTGTTTTCCCGCTGATTTGAGTGATATTGCCCAGAACAGGCGACTTTTCCTGTTTTCCCTCACTCCGGCCTCGCTCTGCAGAGCAGCTCCTTGTAAACCCATCAGAATGTGGTTATTTTTGTGGCCATCTGAATGAGGGATAAGCCAGATTGGGTGAAGAACTTGAATGGGCCCATGTGTTTATTGCTCAGCACTGATGTTTTCATCACATTGGCAGGGCATGGAGGCAGTCGCTCTTCCTCAGTCTTTCTGGGCTTCCAGGGGGGAAATCAGACAGCAGCAAGGGTGGCTATGACCACTTGACCAAACACTCTGCCTCTCCTAGTAAATGTATCCTTGTAGTAGTAGTCCCTGTAGTAGCAATGACAATATTTGTTAAAATTATGCAGATGCTCCAGACATATCTGGGCCACTAACTCCAAATGAATTCAATGCTCTCTAGTATGAATTTTGAAATATACTGCTTCTTTTCTGCTAAAGCAAGTGCTTTTGCTGTGGGTTCTCTCTTCAGCTGAATTCCCTAGAAAGAGTTATTCATCTTAAACAATCTCGGAAGTTAAAAAAGGGAATGTTTAAATAAACTCAAAGGTACTTTTCTGACCTTTTTGGATAGAAGTCAACATCCAAAAATAAGAAAGCAGGTGTCTGAATTCCTTTCTATCCGCGTGCATCAAATGAGGTTTTTAATGGGGTAATGCCAGTGTAAGAGAGGGATAAATGAATGAGACTCAATAATTTTGGTTAATTTTATTACTTCCATTGGTGTTATTGAGAGGTTCCATCCTGTCTGCAAAAGATGCTAGGAGGTCCTTCAGGCACGTAAAGACCTCAGTGACTCTAATAATGAGTATGGAGCAAACCTAATGAGCTTCTTAAATGATTAACTATGCATCCTTTTTCCCACACTGGACACTAACCAGTGAATTCAGACTTTTTTTGTGTGTGTCCAGAAGGAGGTCAGGCAGTCTGATTGCACGCCATTGGTTTGACCTTGCAAAGTAACCAAGCAGAAGAGGAGTAGTTCACACCTTTGCCATCAGTCAGGTGCCTACGGCTGTGCTGGTGAAAGAGGAGAGTTTGCATGAGGTCAGGATATGGCCCAGACCCTGGATTTGCAGGGTCTCTGTATAAGGGTTTCTGCCATTTCTGGTTGCAATAACAACATAGCCATCGGTCCCAGTGCACCAATGGCCAGTGGGCATATGGGCCACAACTGCAATGCCATGAGGTGTGCCCTAAGACATAGCACCCAGCTTTCACCTCTCCTGTTCAGCATCACCAGCCCTATTTTAACATGAGTTATATTATACCCATAATTCAGAGCCCAGAGCACCATTTGAGGGTACCAAGGACCCAATAGCCACGCCACCCTGCCATGGCAGCAAGCACCTGTGGCAGCTTTGCAAAACAGGTTGTGTTTAAATCCACACAGGTAACGAACTTTTGAAACAGTAGCTTTCTGAGTTGCCTGGAAGAGAACCTCATGTATGATGCAAAACAATAATGCTTAGTAATAACAGTATAAAGCTCTGTTGTTCTTGGTCATCTGTTCCCACTTGGCCATAAAGGGCTTATTGCATGTGAATTCAGGCAGAAGCCTGATATAATATTCTCCACACAATAACATCTGCAAAAGGTATTAAAGTTATTGTTATTAAAAAGCCTTATATGGATTACCTAGTTCCATACAGATAAGCATATTCCATTTCTGCTCAGTGATGAAAATGCTAAAAAATGAGGTAGCAATTTAGAAGAGCACAGTTAATATAAAAGCATTCTTCATTTA